CTGCACTGCGCCTCACAGAAGCTGCAGCAGCTGCCACTGCTGCTGCGGCCAGTGACAGGGCGGGTGAGGAAGCTACAGGCACCTCAACAGGACAAACCAGTGCAGTAGCAGCGCCAGCAGCAGCCACAGAAGCCGTGGGCATGGCTGTACCAGCGGCGGCAGCGGGCAGCGGCAGCGGCGGCGGCTGCAATAGCTTCTCTCTTGGTGTCTAGATGCAACAGCTTTGCAAACGCAGAGAGGCTGCCAGCAGCAGCAGCATCAGCATCGATAGCATCAGCAGCAGCAGCAGCAGCTTCGCCAAGAGCAGCAGCAGCAGTAGCGGAAGCAGCAGTGGCACCACCGTCACTAGCAGTGCGGATTGCAGCAGCATTCCTGTACGGGCGAGCACGAACACTGCTACCTGTACCCGCACCCTCCTTTTCACCAGCACCAGCAGCACCAGCAGCAGCAGCAGCACCAGCAGCAGCAGCAGCACCAGCAGTCTCCAGTGCAAGCATCCTCTCCACCCCCTCTCGCCCCTCCCTCTCCCTTGCACCGGCACTTTTCCTGTGACTCCTCTGCCTCTTCCTCCGCCCTGAACCATTCAAATTCAGCTCCTGCTGCTGCCCGTCGTTTTCCCATCCGCACTCTACCTTGTCCCACTGCTCTCCTGCTCTCGTCTCTACCCTCGCCCCTCTGCTGTCCCTCATCCCTCTGCTGCCTTTTGTCCCCTTGCTCCCCCTCTTCTCAGTTTTGCCTTCCCGCCTCCCCTCATCCTCTCGCTCCTGCACCTGATGTTTCCTTCTCCTGCCTCTTCCTGCTGCTCGGTGGTGCCTATGTCGCCTTATGAAATCGGGCAGCTTGAAAGTTTTCAGCCTCACGGGCAGGAGGGCCAACGGAAGAAGCAGATTGGCGGTCTATGGGAAAAAGGACAGACGGAAAAAACGCAGCGCAGGTGGGCGGGAGAATGGGAAAGGGAAACATAAATTAAGACAACACGGAAACTATAGAGCACCCAATCAAGCACGCAACTCACTGAATCAATCAACTCATAACTCACAACACATGCCTTTAGGGCGAGAGGGAGAGAGAGAGGATTTTTGAGGCGCCTCAAAAATCAAGCACGCAACTCACTGAATGAATCAACTCATAACTCACAATACATGCCTGGAGGGCGAGAGGGAGAGAAAGAGCGCAAGAGCGAGAACGAGAGTGAGAGCGAGAGGGAGCGAAAATGCAGAAAGTGTCGCTCGCCCCTCACCTCGCCCCTCACCTCGCCCCTCACCTCGCCCCTCACCTCGTCCTCCCCTGCAATCAGTGCCCCACTTACTGAAATTTCTTTGCCCTTATCAGCTGCACAAGCCCTGGCCATAGCAGGGGCAGGGGCGGAAGCAGTGGCAGGGGGGGCGGAGGGTGGAGTACGTGTGGGTGTGGGGGTGCGCGCGCATGGCTGGATGGCAGCAGCGACTGGTGGGAGCGAGCTTTGAAGTAATGGAGTGGAAGGGCGTGGAGAGGAAGATGGTTCTGCTGCCACCATCAGGCATGGTGCTGCAGGTTTTGACCATGCTTCTGCTTCCCCAGCTCCTGCTGCTGCTGCTGATGGTAATGCTTCTACTGCTTCTACCGTTTCTACTGCTTCTTCTGGTGTTAGTAACTGTACGGGTGCTGGCAGTGGTACTACTTCTGCTGTTGTTGGCTGTGCTGCTGCTACTGTTGATGGCGCTGGCGGTGCTGCTGCTGCTGCTGCTGCTGCTACTCTCAATGGTGATACCTCCAGCAAATCTTTAGCCCTCGGGGGTGACTCAGCTGATGAACCAACTTCAGGAGTCTGCTGCACCATAAGAGCATCAGAGCAAGCATCTGGCAATGGCAAGGAGGAGAAGGAAGAAGAGGCATTAGCAGGAAGCACCGCAGCCTGAACATCCGCCTGCCCTTTCCTCTTGCATTGAGGTGAACTTTGAGGCGCCTCAGGAAGCACCGCCGCCTGCACATCCGCCTGCCCTTTCCTCTCGGCTGTTGTCTTCCCAATCTCATCACCTCGCTCACCTCGCCCCTCCTCGCTCCCTCCCACCTGCTGCTCTTCCTGCTCCCGTGCCGTTTCACCATCCCTCCCACTGCCATCTCTCCCACTGCTCCTCTCTCTCTCCTCCTTCCCTCTCTCCTCCTTCCCTCTGTCCTCTCTCTCTCTCTCCTCCCTCCCTCTCTCCTCCCTCTCTCTCTCCTCCTTCCCTCTCTCCTCCCTCTCTCTCTCCTCCTTCCCTCTCTCCTCCCTCTCTCTCTCCTTCCTCTCTCTCTCCTCCCTCACTCTCTCCTCCCTCCCTCTCTCCTCCTTCACGCTCCCCTCCTCCTCAGCTTCCATCTCCTCGACCAAGGCCCCTCCAGTGGCTCGTCTTTCTCCCTCGCTGCCACCAGCCTCGGTCTCCCCTGTCGCGGAGTTTCCAACACCCATCGGCGGCGCCCCAACAGCAAAGGGCCTCACCCCCGTATCCCTCACCACTTCCATGCCACCCCCACTGCCAGCAGGTGTCGCAGGTGCATTGACAGCCGGAGCACCAGCAGCAGCAGTACTAGGAGCAGCAGAAGCGGCAGCAATACTGGCAGCAGCAGCAGCAGCAGCAGCAGACGGGGAAGCAAGGAAGGGAGCAGGATGCAGCGATTGTTTGCCTGGTGTGCATGGGAGGCCTTGTGGCATAGACGAATCTGCAGCATCCAAACTCGGGTCAGCGGCAGCATCAGCGGCAGCAGCACCAGCAGCGGCAGTACCATCAACAGCAGCAGCTTCTGCTGCAGGGTCAGAACCAAGAGCACCTGCAGCAGCAGTGGTGGCGAGAGTGAGAGGCACAGGCACATTGCTGGGTGCACGCGGTGGCAGCTGAGTGTCTCTGGCAGTGCTGACTGCTGTGGCAATCGCAGCAGCAGCAGCAGCAGCGGCAGGGGCGGAGGGGAGAGTGGGGCGAACAGGAGTGGAAAGCAGAGGGTCGCAGAGATGGAAGGTGGGAGCCGGAGCGACCCCAGCGGGGGCAGAGAGAGCAGTGACTGAAGTGACTTGAGTTGAAATCTCCACAGCAGTGTGCTCACACACCACAGTGACTGGCTCTGACTCTATCCCGCACACCTGCTCCTCCTGCTCCTTCTGCCTTTCCTCCCTTTCGCATGGTGCTTGCCTCTCTTCACACTCACGTACCGCTGCAGCAGCAGCAGCAGCAGCAGCAGCAGCAGCAGCAGCAGCAGCAAGAACAGGATGAGCTAGGCCCCCATCACAACCGGCGGCATCACCCTCAGCTGCTGCAGCAGGGGCAGCAACTGTCAGCTCTGTAGACTCATCTCCCCCTCTCCCTGCACTCTCTTCCGCCTGCCTCCGCCCCTCCCCGTCCCCTCCACCTCCATGCCCAATACAGCACGCTTCCACCTGCCTGTGCCCCTCTGCACTCCCTCCCGCCTCCTGCCCATCCCTGCTCGCGTGCGCCCCTCCCCATCCGCGCTTCTGTGACAGAATCACATCCAGCCCCGACAGGCCCACAGGCTTGGGTGCATCTGCTGCCGCTGCAGCTGCAGCTGCTTCTGCTGCTGATGCTGCCACTGCTGCCGCTGCTGTCGGTGCTGCTGCTGTGCCTGCTGCTACTGGAACTTGCAGTTTTCCACAGGCAGCGAGTGAGAAGTTGTCATGCCCAGTCAGCTGGTGGTGAAGACAAGTTGCAGCAGCAGGATTGTGGGCCATGCTGACATATGGTGGTGCTGGTGGTGGTGCTGGTGGTGTGCTGCTGCCATGTGCCATGGGAACAGGCATATCATGGCCGTTCACATACCCCATCTCCCTGCCTGCTTCCCTCTCTCCCCCTGCTTGAGCCCTCACCAATGCCACCTCATCCCCTTCCTTGCCTCCCTCGCTTCCTCTCACTTCCACCTCCTCCTCCTCCTCGTCCTCCTCCCATCCCTCCTCCTCCTCCTCGTCCTCACTCTCTTCCCTCTGCTTCTCCTCCACCCTCCACCTGCCCAGCAATCTCCGCCTCTCCCTCAACCACCCATGCCGGCATCTATCCACACGCGCAGCCCCGCTCTGCCCCATCGCTCTCCACGCCGGTGCAAACGCCACAACCGCCAGCCGAACCAGCAGCCTCCTCGCCCCAACCCTCCCCCCCCACTTCTCCCCTCCATACCTCTCCAGGATCCTAACGCGAAGGACGGGGGGTCTGCTGTGGGTTCGGTGGGGCTGCTGCTGCTGCCGTGGCAGCCGTGCCTGCTGCCTAAACCCTCGTTCGCATAATCTACTTGCTCCAACTCTTGCTCCACGTGCCACCGTTTCCTCTTGCGTTGCCACGAGCAGCCTGCGGGCGAAAAGATGCGGGACTCAAGACACGAGGGGTGCAGGCAGGTGGGGTGCGGGCAAGAGGGGTGAGGACAGGTGGCGTTGCCAGTGCACGTGCAGGGGGGAAGGGTGGAGAGCGAGGAGGGAGGAGACGGGGAGGATGATGGTGGGGAGCGAGCAGGGGACGGGGAGCAAGAGCGAGAGTGGGAGCGAGAGTGAGAGCCAGAGCGAGAGCGAGAGTGAGAGCGAGAGCGAGAACGAGAGTGAGAGCGAGAGCGAAAGGGGGAGGCGACGAGGACGGGCGTGTCAGTGGACGTGGGGCTAAGGAGGTCGATGATGCCGTCTGCTGCTGCTGTGTTGTTGTTGTTGATGTTGTTGCCGGGCAAAGTTGGCGGATCCTGAATGTGCATATGCACAGGGATGTGCTGCTCTTGCTCTTGCCCATGCCCATGCCCATGCCCATGCGCATGCCCATGCGCATGCCCATGCGCATGCCCTAGCCCAGCAGACGCATGCAGTTCCCCGCTGCTGCTGCCACTCGTTGATCTCCTCCGCCTGCTGCACACTCCCCCCACGCCCTTCCTTTCATCCGCCTTGCTTTCTCCCGTGCCACCTGCTCTCCTCCCTCCCTGCATGCCGCCTTGCTCCTTCACCTCCTTCACCTCCTTCTCATCACTGGACACTTCATCCCGTTCCTCACCCACCCCTCTCACACCCTTGTGTCCCTCCTTCTCACGCTGCCCCTCCTTGTCCCCTTCTTCCTCCTCTTTCTCCTCGTCTTTCTCATCCCCTTGCTGCTCCTCCTTTCTATGATTCATCCAATATCGTTTCTCCCCAACCTTCTCCCGGCTCTTCCTCACTTCCCTCACCCCCCTCCCCTGCCCCATCCACCCTCTCCGTTGCATCTCACCTTCCCCCTCCTCCTCTTCCTCCTCTTCCTCTTCCTCGTCTTCCTCATCCTCCTCATCCTCTTCCTCTCCGTCCTCCTCCTCTTCGTCCTCTTCCTCCTCCTCGTCCCCCTCCTCCTCCTCCCATTCCTCCTCCTCCTCAGTCTGCTTCAGCTCAAGCCTCCTAGACCGTCTAACTCTCGTCGCCGCTTCCTCTCCATCCGAACCTCGTCTCCTTCCTCTCACCACCTCCCTACCACCGCCAATCTCCCACCTCAGCTTCCTCCTACCACCGAAACCCCGCCTGCCCCTCCCTCTGCGTCTCCCGCGCGCTCCTCTCTCCCCCCTCCCTCTCCCACCCCCACCACCTCGCCCACACCCGCCCAACCGACCTTCTGAACCTGACCCGCTACCACTGCTCCCCTTAGAATCACCAGATGTGCTACTATTGCCGCCTCTCGCCCCTTTGCCATCTCCTCTCGTCCCTCGCCGGTCTGTACCAGGAGGCCAGACGTGGGGTGGCGAGGGGCATAAACGGCTGTGTTGGCGGGCAGTCTGCAATGACCCGCTTTCTCCCGCCCCCACAACCTCCCTCTGCCTTGCCACAGCAGCAGCAGCAGCAGCAGCAGCAGCGGCTCTTCGGCTGGCCAGTGGCAAGTCGCTGTCTGCGCCACCACTGCTGCTGCTGCTGCTGCGACAACGACTGTGGCTACGACTGCTGCTGCCACCGTTGCTGCTGCGGCTGCGGCTGCGGCTGCTGCTGCGACTGTGGCTGTGGCTGCTGTGGCTGCTGCTGCTGGTTCCACAAGTGCTGTTGCTACTTCTCTCGCCTTTCTCCCTGCCTCGTGCGACCCTTGGACCCCCTCTCCTCCCCCATCCCCTTCTGCCACCACCATCCTTCCTACCCACGTTCTCGTTTTCGCTGCTGCTGCTGCCGCTCCTGCGGCTGCTCCTGCTCCTGCTTCTGCTGCTGCTGCCAGTGCTGTCACTGCGACTGAGCGTCATCGGGGTGTCCTCACTAGGAACAGATGCCTCATCGCCACTGCTGCTACCCCTGGAGCTGAAACGGAAAGATTCCACATCCTCGTCATCCTCACTATCATCGTCCCCATCATCATCACCACCATCAGGAAACTCGTATTTGGCAGCTGCAGCAGCAAGAGGAGGGGCAGCAGCAGTGTTGCGAGTGGTGGCGCCGCTAGCAGCAGGATGCAAACTGTTGCATTTGGGGCGACGGATAGATGTTCTTTGAAGAGCCCCTTCAACATTACAACCACCACCACCAATATCAGCACTGCTCGTCCTTCTATCGCAGCTCTTTATCCTGCTCCTGCAGCTTCTGCTGCTACTGCTGCTTCTATTGCTGCTTCGGTTGCTACTGCTCCTCCTCGTGTTGCCACCGCTGTGACCCTTACATCTCTCTACTGTATCGCCCTGTATCCTACTGCTACCATCACCACTGGCACTGCCACGCCTGCACGCACTGATGCTGCCACTTTCCCCACTACACCGCGTCTCCTTCACGCTGCTCTCTCCGCCCGCACCGACCCTACAACCCGCCTCCTCTGTCCCATGCATTCCATGTGCACCGCGCGCCCCAGCTGCTACATCCGTTCCATGCGCCCCAACGCCAATGGAGCGTACAGCAGCAGCCGTCCAGCCGCCATGGCCTCGTGGCAGCCTGCCTCGCCTCGCCTCACACGGCCATGCCCCTCCCGCCCGTTCCCCCCGCCCGCCTGGCTCCCTCCACACTCCGTCCCCGTCTTGAATTCGTCTGCTCACATCTGCTGCTCCTTCCGCTTCCCTTTCTGGTTTTCCTGCCCCTACTGCTCCTGCTGGGGCTGCTGCTGCTGCTGCTACTGGGGGTGCTGCTGCTGCTGCTGGGGGTGCTGCTGCTGCTGGGGGTGCTGCTAATCCTGCTGGCGATCCGGCTCCTTTCTGGGCTGGAGCCGCCCCTACTGCAGCAGGAGCAGCATCAAAACCTTCTGCCGTGCCTTCCCCCCAAGCTTCACTTCCACGAGACGCCTCATTGGCCACCACAATAACCACTTCCGCTGAACCGACAGGAACCTGACCAAGCCTAGCCACGGCACCAGCAGCACCACCAGAGGAGTAGCCTGGAAGCTGAAACGGGCCGTTGAGACAAAGGCTGACAGGAACATCAACTGCACACTCCAACTCCTCCCCTCCCACACGCGCATCCCTCTCGCTCTCCACCTCACACCCCAACACCACGCATCCGTTCCTCCCGCGCCCCACCTCCCCCTGCCCGCTTTTGCCGCTCTCCAGCTCCCCCTCCGCCTGCATAACCCGCCTACTCAACACATCCGCCACCCTCAGAACTATACCCCCTCCGACAGTCTCCCTTTCCTCGTCTCCCCTCGGCCTGCTCGCTTTCCTCTCCTCCCCCTCCTCGCCTCCTCCTTCGGCCCCTCCAGTGCGCTCCATCACCACAATTGCGACCTCCCTTTCCTGCATGCGACAGGTGAAGCCGCCCAGCCCATCCCTTAACTCTGCCGCATACGACGCACCCAACCCTGCCAACCGGCCTGCTAGACTCCCCTTCCCATCCTCCTCCTCCTCCCCATCCGCTTTGTTCTTCTCCCCTTCTTTGTCTTCTTCTTCTCCCCCATTTCTCTGCTCCCAGGGAGGTTCCTCCTCCTCCTCCTCCTCCTCTTCCCTGTACCGTCTCCCACTAAAAGAGGCTTCCCGTCTGCTATCCGTACCACCATCCCGCCCTCCATTCCTCCTCCACTCCTCCCAACCCGTCTCTCCGGGCTGCAAACTGCCGCCAGCACTCTTCCCCGTGTTCCCCCCGCGTGATTCCCAATCTTGGTCCCTATCTTGACCGCTACTTCCGCTCAGCGCACACTCCCCCACTCCCATCCGCCCATTTATTCCCCTCGCCGCCTCTCCTGCACGCTCCACGGGCCCCCCTGCTACATCCACACTCCAACTCATATCCCCTACTCGCCTCCCGTTTACACCGCTTCCCCCGCATCCCCGCTCCGCTCCGCCTGCCCACTTACCCGCTGCTTCCTGCTCATTCTTTCTTCCGCTCGGTTGCTCCGCGCGGTTCCTAGCGGCGGCGCGCGCTCTCTTCCGCACCATGAGCGCGCGCTCCAGCTCCAGGCCTTTGGGGGTCATCTTGCGCTGGCGCTTCTGCGCCGTCCCCGCGCAATCTTGCGCCACAATCTCCGCATGAGGGGGACTTGAAGGCTCGGGTCCTTCCACTAACGTCGCTCCTACCCCTCTCGCCATGCTCCCAAGACATAGAGCATGTGCATCCGCGCTATATGCGCCTGAGCGGAAGCCTGGAAGTACTCCGCTTAGTATCTGCTGCGGCTGCACCACTCCCTGTTTCCCCTGCCCCTCCTTCTCCTCCTGCTCCTGCTGCTGCTGCTGCTGCTGCTCGGGAGGCAGCTTGAGAGATTCTACATGGGATTCGAGGCCCATTCAGACGCCGTCAAACGCGGAGAGCCTCTTCCGCACCAGCTGTGAAAATGAGGGTTGGAGGGGCTGGCTTAACACGAGCAACGAGGGGACTGAGGGAACTTCAACAGCCATGAAACCCTAACGCTACGTGGTCTCAAGCCTGGACTGACAAAGCGGTGTGAAGATTTACGGCTCTTGGAACCACGCTCGTGGCTCCCCGAATCTGCTTACGTCGATAGTGAATTCGAAATTAGGGTTCGAGTAGTAAGGGTTTGTTTTGAGACGCGAGGGACAAGCGAGTAACTCGGGTGAGAACAAGATATGGAGAACCGAGGGGAAGAGAGTTGGTGTGCTGGTGGACCGCTAAGAGCCAGGAGAGAATGAAATGCGAATGGAGAGGAAACAAGTCCAACGTCCAAGCATAAGAGTCAGCGGAGTGCTGCTGCCGGGCTGCTACATTTCTTGCCGGTCAAAAGTCATGGGACCACAGAGGACGGCACTGATTTCAAGCTACTTCCTCGGAAATTCGTTGAGGAACGAGCAGCAACATCGGAGAGGTGAAGCGAGTCACAAAAATGGTGGCAGTTGGGCCTCCTGTGCCTGTTTTGGTGGCTGCTCATGTGTCACGAAATGAGACCATAGGGTGGGGGGGGGACACCTGTATTGGTTTGGTTGTTTGCTGAGGTGGGCTGTGACACCTCCTTCCTACCAAGCCTAGGAGCGAGAGAAAGGAGGTTTGGTGGATTTCATAAGTTGCAATTTCAGACTTCTGCTGCGGCCTGACGTAGCAGCCACCCACCACTGAAAGGGCATCCAGCAAGGCTCGCGATTAAAGCGACGGTGCACATTTGCCACCCAAAACCCAGAACCCTGGCGAACTGTTACTGCGGATGGAAAGTGTCCGCACGAAATCCTGGTTTTCGCCAGCCAGCACTTTCGCGCTGGCAAGCCTGGTTCAAAAAAAAAACTTCTGAACCCAACACTGCCAAAAGTTGCCCGTCGCTTTAAGTTTTGCGACGCCAGCGAGTCAAAAGTCTTGCTTTCGTGCTACTTCGCGAGCCCTATCTTCAGTGTCGCACAGGGTGTGGCGGGGCAGCAGAGCTTAGCAGACCACAATCCCCCAGATCCCGCACCAATCAAAAGCCGAGCTCGAGCATTGGCTCCGCGAGACTAGAATCTGGCACTAGGGTACTGTAGAGGTGATGGCAAGTTTTGGTCAGAGGAGAAAAAACCTCCAAGAGAGGCAAATTTATACCAACTACGCCTATTTTCAAGGCATCCTGCCCAGAACCAGAGCAACATTTGTTCACGTTTCAACACGTGGTGCATCATTGCACAAACACGAAACCGTAAACAGGTGGAAATTTTGAAGGGCGCCAGCTGGTTTGGCACAGACAGCGTCCTGGTCTCTTCAGACACAGGTTCGCATCGCAGTGAACCTGATTGGCCTTGATTTGATGGGATGATAAGGAGAGAAGCATGTGTGGACGACGAAGGTACACTGCGGATGTATTTACCTTATAAAGTAAACGTAATCTGTAAATACATACCCAGACAACACTTCATTACCTCATGACACCATAATCATGGCTCAATAATCCTTCAATTGTGCATGGTGAGAGATTATTTTAGAAGCATATCGTGAACCTATGTAGTCCACTGTTAACAATGCAGCATACACTGCTAACAACTTCTCTCCCTCCCTAACAAACCCACCCATGTCTACTTGAAGGTTTAACCAGCATTGGAAAAACGATATATGTATTCCAGTTGATTTCATTGGTAGAATTAATCATAGGCCAAGGCATTCCGCCGTTGTTTCTCTCATGTATCACCAGATGAAGTAACATGCCTAACACTTCCTTCTGAGCGCTGATTCCTCTCCCTCTCCTCCTTTTCTACCCGATCCCTCTCTTCCACTTCCCGTCTCAACCTCTCCAGCTGCCTCCGACTCCTCTCCTGCTCCTTCTCTGGTCGACCCCGTCGCTGCATCAATCTACGCCGAGCAACCTCTTCCGACAGCTCCTCCTCGCCCTCTCCCTGCAACCGTCAGCCAGCAGACATTCCAAAAGTTGGGTAAATTCACTGGATCACAGGGAAAACACTGTACAACAGCATCTGTCCAACTAGACCCTCCACCGGGGCCATTGATGCACCATGTAGCAGGCAACTGCTGTTGGATTGGAGGGCTGACGAAGCAATCCCACTCCAACAAGCATCAATGTCCTCAGTTCTGCCTCAATGAACCTTTCATACACTTCCCCAGACCAAACGACCTTTCATCCTTCTCAAACTATGGGCCTATGTGGTTTTGCAGTAAAGCCCTGCCTAGCATATAAATTCTGTGCATCTCTCATGTTTTGGCGTGAAAAAGGGGGCACTCACCTGATTAAGCGAAAAGGGATGTCTTCGAGGGATGAACCGCACTGTCATGGGATCCACGCCCTCCGGCACCGGGTCTCCTTCCACCAGCACTAGCTCCGGCTTCTTCCACCCGTGCTCCTTGCGACGCTGCTGCCTGTGGTACTCCATCTTCTCGTTAGTCAGAGGCGGCAATGGCTCCAGCTCAACCAGAGTCGCATTGCCTATGCGGTAATTCCGCACCGATGTCGGGTCGTCGAACTCGCGAATCACGCGCAACCTGAGGACCCATGGAGAGGAAGAAAGCAGAGCGTTGGAAAAACGGAAAACTTCCGCAATTGCCCGAGACCCGTTCGTGAAGGCCAGGAAACTCTCGGCACTTACTTCCGTGACATGAGACTAGGGCGTGCGAGCTGGAGCAAGGCGAGACTTACAAGCTGCGATAACGATACGGTTCTTATCCCTTCTAAGCACAATACCCGCATTAAAATTATATATTTCAAGCACGTACGGCACAGATCTGTCGGCCGCAATGAATCCTCGCCGAGCTAGCGAGTCCACAGGCCTCTCCTCCTGTCCCCTGGCTCTGCGAACGAGCACTGCGCTGACCCCGACCACGGCCAGTACAGCTGCTGCCACTCCGCCTACCGTCCACCATTTTGCCGATCCGGTGGGTAACGGTAAGCGCTCGAGGAACGAGAACTGTCGAATAGGAATATAGATGGGGATAGGATATAGATGGGGACGCAGACGCGAGTGTTTTGGACAGAAAATACTTGGGCCATGAGGGGAACCTGACGCGAACGAAATATGTTAAAGTCAAGCACAGCGGAAACAATGGGGGAAGCGGGACAAGGGTAACGGTTCTCACGGCAGTAGATTGCTCGCTGACGAGGTTCTTAGAATCCTGCGACCCGTGCACCACAACCTTAACCAGCTCTTGATCTCTCCCGTCCTTCTCGGTCCCTCCCTTGCTCTTCGCTACGGATTTATTTTTTGCGGCTTGGACAAGGACGACGGACCTTCTGGCCAGCTGACAGCGACGATGCGGACTGCTTCGGAGGAACGCATCCGGCCGTTCCAGTCTGTGAATATGGTTTGAATGGCTGGAAGGGGAAGAGAGAAGAGGTCTGGCAGAGCTACAACGAGGGGAAAACGGAGATCTCTGCCAGCAGGCGACGGCGTCTGAGCCACGTGTCACGCCGCTGGTGCTACCAGGGCTGACGGCACTGCTCGTGGTGGTGGTGGTCACGGCCACCAAGCGGGCTTGTTGGGCAACGTAAGACATCGAGGTCGCTGCCATTATGTGCAACTAACGGCTAAAACAATGAATGGCTTCTGTGACTAAGAAGCTAACACAAGGCGAAATGCTTCATGAACGGAGAAACTGAAAGAAGAGGCACATCGGTGGGACGAACATCACATTTCGAAATACTTCCAGCAGCCAGGTACACTTTGAATAGCTGAGATGAGAGATACTGCACTGAGGGGAAGATGGCAGGCTTCTCGTACCTCTACTTCCGCTGGAATTTGCAACAGAGATGGGCATGCCTCTTCCATCCCTGTCTACCGTCGATCTAAAACAAAAGTCAGATAATAGCCGCCGGATGGATCATGACTTCTGGAAAAAACATTTCCTTTCAGCACATGTGGTGTTTCCGAGGCTGCTGCACACGTTTGGTGCCAGCGTGGAGCCCGAATAGTTCAGTTCGAGTGGCCCCACCTTATCTGGCGCTGGGTGGACCACAGCAGCTCGAAAGGTGAGGTTCGTGCAGTGCGCGGGAAAGCAAATAATAGGCTGATCGGGTGTGCTTGAACCACAATTACCGAGCCTAGTAAGCAGTTATTTCAACATGTTACGAGTGCAATTGAGTGAACGAACGAGAATTGCACTATCGAAGCAAGAGTACCATGAGCGAAGGCATGAGCGAAAAATATATAGCGAAACTACAGTGGTAACGGTAATGGACTGTGGTTGTCGCGCGACGGGCCTGGGACTGAGGTTGGGAAAAAGTGTCGAAGCGGAGGCCCGGAGCGCGGGTTACCCGCCGAGCTGTGAGGTTGGGGTGCGATGTGCGAAGGTGGTGGGCGGATTGTCGATGCGAGGGTTGCGAGTGGTAACGGTGCTGACTGTGGTGCTACAGTGATGTACGCGTTGAGCAGGGATGCGAAGTAAGGAAAAGGAATTTTCCTTACACTACCCCCCCCCCTAAGGAGGTCCTCCTTACGAAAGTGCGTGTACATCCCTGAAATTTCGGCTGCGCAGATACTCGGTGAGGACAGGGTGGTTTTCGATTCTGTCCAGGGGAACCCAATTGTCTTCGGTGGGTGTATGGTTCTTCCAGCGGAGTAAGAACTCGATCCTTCGGGCTCCTCGAGGGTCGCGAACTCTGTGACTCAGGATTTTCTCGGGGGTGATGATTGGTTCAGTTGGTGGTCTTGTCATGCTGGCTGGGCGATTGCGTGGCAGTTGGCTCGTGGACAGGACGTAAGGGCGAAGCAGGCTGACATGGAATGAGGGGCTGACGTACCAGTCAGCAGGGAGGAGGAGGTGGGCGGTGACGGGTGTAAGCATGTGGCTTATGCGAAATGGCCCGCAGTATCGGGGGCGGAGTTTCGGGGTGATGGGCAGTCGGAGGTTCTGAGTGTCAAGTAAAACTAAGTCGTCGGGCTGGTAAGTGACAGGTCTGCGGTGGCGGTCGGCGTTGCGTTTAACGATGATGTTCGATTTTTTTATTGCGTCTGCTGCCCGGGTCCGTGCCGCTTGTAATATTTCGGCGAACTGTTGTGCTCGTGGTACTGGGTTGTCGGGATTCGGGGTCATGGGTACTGTCGGGTCTTGTCCGTAGTTTAGGTAAAATGGTGACTGTTGGGTCATGGCGGATGGCGAGTTGTTGTACGCGAATTCGATTAGTAGCAGTTGCTGTTCCCACGTGGTCGGGTCGTCACACGTGGCCCTGATGAGCTATTCCATGGTCTGATTTGTCCGATCTGTCTGTCCGTCGGTTTCGGGGTGGTATGATGAATTGAACTGCAGTCGCGTGCCGAACTGCTGGCACAGGTTCCGCCAGAAGTTGCTGGTGAATTTCGTGTCGCGGTCGCTGATGATCGCGGCTGGTATCCCGTGCAGTCGAACGACGGTGGAGATGAAGAGGCGTGCTGTTTCTTCGGCTGTGATTGATTTTTTGCAGGCTGCGAAATGTGCCATTTTCGTCAGTCGATCGACGACGACCAGGATCGCGTCGTTTCCACTCGCCCCGGCCAGTAACCCCGTGACGAAGTCCATCGTCACCTGCTGCCAAGAACGCTCTGGGGGTGGTATCGGGTGCAACTGTCCCGCCGGCCGCTGTCGTGATGATTTCATGAGCTGACAAGTGGGACACGATGCCATGTGTCGTTGTACGTCGGTCAACATTTCGGGCCAGTAATAATACCGCTGCAGCTGCTGCCGTGTTTTTTCTACTCCGAAATGCCCCGAGGTAACTCCGTCGTGTGCCTCCTGTAACAGTAATTCCCGTAGCAGTGTATACCCAGGCACCCAAATGCGGTCAGTCCCGGTTTTTACGTAATAGACTCCCTTTGTTGCTGCGAACTGCTGCGAATTTCCTCCTGTGAAGAATGGATCCGTTTGGTACCCGTGGGTGAATAGGCCCGTCAGTAGCGGGCTTGTCTGGGCGAGTAGTATTGCGTGGATCTGGGCAGTGGGGCGGGTCAGTGCGTCGGCGATGTTCGAGGCTCCCTTTTTGTAAGTGACCGTATAGTGAAAGTTGGACTCGAGGAAATCGAGCCAACGAATCTGTCGTTGGTTGAGGTGTGGCTGTGCGCGAAGGTACTGTAGTGATTTATGGTCTGTCCGTACTGTCACGTCCGCGCCAGTCAAGTAACAGCGCCATACTTTGAACGCGTGTACGATCGCAAACATTTCGCGGTCGTGTATCGGGTAATTTTTCTCGGGCGGATGCAGTTTTCGTGACTCGTATGCGATAGGCTGTAGGCCATTGCGGAAATCCTGTAGCAGTACGGCTCCGATGGCGATATCGCTTGCGTCGGTAACTACTTCGAATGGGCGGTGTGGGTCGGCGATGCGCAGGACGGGTGGTGAACAGAGAACATTTTTCAGGGCAGAGAAGGCAGCATGCTATTTCTCCCCCCACGTAAAAACGACCCCCTTCCGTAGTAAATCCGTCAGTGGGGCAGTTAACCGTGCCATATCGGGGACGAACCGACGCACATAATTAACGAACCCTAAAAAGCTCTGCAGCTCCGTGATGTTTGTCGGGGGATGCCACGCTTTTACCGTATCCAGCTTCTTTGGGTCGATTTCAACTCCAGCCTCCGAAATAACGTGCCCCAAAAATTCTAACCTATCCTGGAAGAACTCGCACTTGGAACCCTTGGTCAGTAATCTGTGTCAAACATTATATATGTTGTATTTGTGTAGGCTACAGTGGGTTAGCCTTTAGGGGGTACACAATTCTAGGGTTAGGTACTTGTACTCCCTTTCCTTTCTAGTCCAACACTTCTTCTTTCTAACATGGTATTAAGAGCGTAGGTTTAGACCTAGGATCGTGTCAGAATCCTAAGCATGAGTGGGCTTAGGAGCCATGGGCTTAGTAGCTTAGTGTCGAGAGAATTGGGTAAGGAGAGTGAATGACTTCACTATAGGTTTGCAAGAACATATAGCAAATGAACAAAGAAGGTGCACCACCTAACAAAGTTTATAATAACTACACTAACTACAGCTACAGGCAGTTACAGATATATTCTAACACTCCCCCATAACTGCCAGAAGCAGGAGTCTGTGCAGCGACACAACCTGGATGGGTACACCACGAACTGAGAAAACAGCAACAGCAGGCAACAGGCAAGGTTACAAAGCAGGTACAGCAGCAAAGGGGGGGGCAGGCACTCCTGCCACCCCTTTACTCTCCTCCCCCCCCGACCACAGGAGGGGCGGCAGGGAGAGAGAGGAGGCGGTCTGGCGCTGGCTGGTCACCCACTCCATCCCCTCACCCTCCCCCTCCCCCTCCCCCTCCCCCCCACACTGCTGCAGGAGCAGCAGAGGGGGGAAGAGAGGAGAGGTGGAGGGACGGCTGCTGGTTGGTCTCACACCCGCCACCCCAGTGCCACTCCCCCGGCTCCCCCACACCCTCACATCCTCCCCTCAGCGGCAGCTGCAGCAGTGGGAACGAAAGGAGGAGGAGGGGAAGGGGAGACCACACACCCGCCACCCCAATGCCACTCCCCTGGCTCCCCCACACCCTCACACCCTCCCCCCCAGCAGCAGCTGCAGCAGTGGGAACGAAAGGAGGAGGAGGGGAAGGGGAGACCACACCACCCATCACCCCCACACCCGCCACCCCCATACCCTCCCCCCCACGGCTGCAGGGAGACG